GGCCTGGCTCACTCCACGCTCAGCTGCAGCCCAGGCCGTCACTGCTTCTATCTGTCCAGTAGGCAGAGAGAGGGAGGTGGCCCTGATAACCCAATGATTAGGGGACCTGGTGCAGCCTGTCCCACAAGAACCCCATAGGCACTTGGTCTGTAACATTTTTGGTTGGCTCAAGGGTAAGAGACCTGTTATATTAATATTGATCTCAAAGGCCCAAAGAGTTAAAGGTGTTTATAAACTCACTGTCTAACACTGAACAGTGACAGATGGCTTCGGGATTATATTTTTCCGGAGATCTTGGATTTACTCCATGGTTACTTGACAAACACCCAAGAGCATTCATTCAAGCTGAAAGTTTATTGTTTTCACACAGACACAGACACAATAAGGAATTAAAACAAGCATTTAAACTGAAAGTGTGGTTGAGTGATTATGCAAAACAAAGGTAGTCAGATCCTATCTAAGTCTCTCTCTGGTGTTATCAGAGTTGCTTATTTTCATTACTGTCATGAAAAGGAAAGGGTTAATTTTACTCTCAGTCCTGATCTGTGAAGGGCATTCACTTCTCCCCTTTTTAACAAACAGGGACACAAGGTGGAGGAAAGACAGCAAAGAAAAGGTGGGTGAAATCCGGCTTGTGTTGATGTTTTTGGAATACTGCACCCAGAGACGCCGTGTGTGTATGTGTGTGTGTGTGGGGGGGGAATGTGGGGTTACGTGCCCTCCAGATTTGCTGCCTAGCTTGTACTGACCATGCACACACGGACTGAGCATGCTGAAGCTGGCTGCCCTTACTCTGCCCTCCCCACCCCTCACCCCCACAATCAGCAGGCACAGGTTGTCTCTGGCTAAACAGAGGGAATGCTTTGGCAGGGGCTGGCAAATCAACTGTGACACCTGCTGCTTGGACCTCGGTTCAAGCTCAGGGACGTCATCTAGTTGGATCCTTTCTCCTTAGACACAGCAGGCTTGGATGGAAGCATTATAGGTGATCTCAGGATTCGATGCTAAGCCAAGGGAATGAGAGGTAGGATAGGAGGAGGGGACAGTAAGCAAAACAATGGGGAAGGGAAAACAATTAGGATCTTATGTGCCTCTGTCTTGCAGACCATTAGACATTGGCACTGGTCCAGGGACTGGATGCTATGATGAAGTGATGACTTTCAGCACTCACAGGTGTTTCCCTGGTGTTATGTGGACTGGTGATCTGCTAGGTCACTCCAATCCTTGACTCTGGGAGCCAGCCTTATCCTGCTCTGCTGTGAGAACCCCCACTCCTGGGCTGTTCACGCACAGCCTCTGGCATGTAAGCTGCTTGGATTGTGCAACTGAATGACACTAGCCAATATCTCCGGTCCCAGACACAACCCTAGGTACCTCTGTCTTGCAGTATCCAGTTATGCTTACTGGATGCTTCAAGCTTATATGAGTTCATCAATTTAACAAAGAAATTGATATGCACCAGGCTTGTTATCCCAACAGGAGTCTCTGACATGCTTCAAACCAAACACACTGCTTCAGGTAGAATAAACAAACACATTTATTAACTACAAAGATAGATTTTGAGTGATTATAAGTCAAAGCACAACAAATCAGATTTGGTCAAATGAAATGAAAGCAAAAGCATTCTAAGCTGATCTTAACACTTTCAGTACCCTTACAAACTTAGATGCTTTTCACCACAGGCTGGCTGGTTGCCCTTCAGCCAGGCTCTCCCCTTTGATCAGTGCTTCAGTCGCTTGGTGATGATGTCTGTAGATGGAGGTGGAAGAGAGAGAGAGAGCATGGCAAACGTCTCTCCCTTTTATCATGTTCTTTCTTCCCTCTTGGCTTTGCCCCCCCTTCAGAGTCATGTGAGTATTACCTCATCGTAGTCCCAAACTGACCAAAGGAAGGGGGGTGACTCACAGATCCTTTGTTGCTGCCTAGGCCAGGGTCTTTTGTTCCTGTGAGGCTGGGCTGGGTTTGTCTCATACATGTCCTGATGAGGTGTGAACTGCCCCTCTGCTCTTGGAGAGTTTTTGCCTGGGCTTGTTTTAAGCCATGAGGACACATTTTCAGCCTCATAACTATATACATGAAATTACAACCTATAACATAACATTACTATAACAACAATGCTCAGTGCATCATGAGCCTTCTGAAGACACCCAACATGACAAACTTTGCATTGGATACCACACCATCATATTATAAGGCTGAACATGGGGGTGTAGGGTGTTCCCCTGAGGTACAGAGCATCACACCCAGTCCCATCCCAGAACCCTGACCTCCTCCCACACCCCAACCCCCTTCCCTGAGCCCCCCACAAACCCAGAGCCCCTCGTGCACCCCAGAGCCCTCATCCCCAGCCCCACCCTGCAGCCATCACCCATGCACCCCAACCCTCTGCCCCAGCCCTGAACGCCTCCCACACCCCAAACCCCACATCCCCAGCTCCGGTGGGTCACAGGCATCAACAATTTTCTTCAACTGGGTCACCAGAAAAAAAGGTTTGAAAATCACTGCCCTATCCTGACCAAACCCTCTGGGTGTCAATCCAAAAGGCACACTAGGGTGCAGAGGCAGCTGCACCGGGGCAGAGAGGGGGTCCCTCATGAGGCTGGGGGGGTGGGGTGCCATGCAATACATGGGTTGACCAATGTGGGGGATATTACAGAAGGACTGGAGTCTGGACACAGAGTGGGGATGAGGGCAAGGACATAGGAAGAGAAACCAGGGGACAGATGAGGTGGTGTTCCAGATGCAGTGTGAGATAAATAGGTTGAGGGCACTAGGACCAGGGGGGCAGATGGGTGGTGGGCTAGGAAAACGGGATCAGGATACAGATCACAGGGTAGATGGGGTGGGTGGATAAGAGACTTGGTAGATGGAGCAGGGGTGGGGAACCAAGGTTGGAGGGGCACCTGCCTACAGCACATGATGCCCTTGTTTGGAAGAAGAAAAAGTAAACTTGTCAGATTGAAGGACAGTGCTGAAATGTATCATAACAAAAATATTTACCATAGGGAAAATGCTATGAAATAGGGATCGAAGAATTAGTTACAGAAATGCGGTTTACTTTTTTTAATTGAAAAGGTATGAAAAGTACATAATATTGGAAGTCCAAAATGGTATTAATTGTCATAGGAACATAAGACCATTTAAAATATATGGAATCTTGGGGAGAGGTAACAGTCAATCAGTGGTTGCCATTTCAGCTTGCAAAGTAAGTTATCCAGAAAAAAAAATGTAAATATGTCCTTAACTGTATTCAATGTAAGTATTCTTGTTGCTACCAAATATCTAGGTAGCCAAATACACATCACTGGTGTTACCGACTTTTGCCATTTTACCACGAGGATGGCAAGTATTTGATGTTTTTATTCTGAAAGCACAAACTTCTGGAATGATAAGATTGCTTGAGAATCACAGCTTCCATTAAGTATAATAATAAAAAAAATTCTAACTTATGGTTTTGGGAGAAAAAAGTGAAAATATGAATCTAGTGTAGCCCTAAAGGCTCAGAAACAAAAATGCAATAAAAAGAAACCCAGACATCTTTGGTTTTAACTCATTATGCTTTGGTGCATGAGGTGCTATGTGAATTGTTGGGGTTATCATTACTGATATCTATGTTTAGTCAAAATTACAGTAGAAATTTGCCTTTGAGAGGGATTTCATACAAGAGAGAGTTACTAGGTTGACCCAAGTTGATGGCCAATGTTCAAGGCCCTGCACACTGTTCCAGTTGGGAGTAGAATTTGAGAATGAGTCTGGTATCTTTCATACAATCTTATTTATTTACCAAGTATGTAGGAAGGGCTGTTTCCATGTTAATAAGGAGGGAGCAAAGCACCCTACCCATCCAAAAAACCTCAGAAGAGTTCCTTTGCTCACAGCTCCAAACTACTTATTCAGCCGGTGTGTGACTGGGCGCTCTCTCTCTCTCTCTCTCTCAGCCTTGGGTGTGCCCTTTGCTATTGTGTCTTTGTTATCATGACTCACATTTAATATGAACGAAGGGCAGCTGCTCCATTCATTATTTCAAGGGGCTGTGAGCCAACCAGTAACAAGAGTACAGGGCTGCCCTCATTGGGGAAGTCAGTAAATCATGAACAAGGTAGCACAACGCCATCCCTGTGCAGGCTTAACCAAAGGAACTGACAGTGAGCTAAGAACAACAAGAGTCATATGTCAGAGGGGTAACCGTGTTAGTCTGAATCTGTAAAAAGCAACAGAGGGTCCTGTGGCACCTTTAAGACTAACTTATTGGAGCATAAGCTTTCGTGGGTGAATGCCCACTTCATCAGACGGGGCCTCTGTTGCTTTTTAAAGAGTCACATGAACATTTAAAATAAATAATGAAAATCAGTGAAACTGCATTAACCTGTGGATTACAGGAAAGGGAGTGCAATCCAGGCAATCAGGACAGTACTTGCTCCTTGCCCTGACTTTTCCTAATCTGACCGTCTCCTTCTCTTGCCTCCACCAGTTCTCTCCTCCTTTGGACACATTTTTTACCCTTCCACGATTTCTCCCCTTCTTCCCCTCTCATTTTCTCCCACTTTTAGCACCATTTCCTTGCCGCAGGAAGCAGATTGGGAGGGTAGGAAGGGCAGAGTGAGGGCAGTGGCTTCAGCAGATGTCACTGAGCAACCTGCTCTCCATGTGTCAGTATATAATGCCTGCATCTGTAACTTTCACTCTATGCATCCAAAGAAGTGAGGTTTTTACTCACGAAAGCTTATGCCCAAATAAATCTGTTAGTCTTTAAGGTGCCACCAGACTCCTTGTTGTTTTTGTAGATACAGACTAACACGGCTACCCCCTGATACTTGTCTACACGCTGTGGGTTTCTCTCAGTTCAGGAAGGAGAGAAGGATTCTGGCTGGCGTCCAGCAGCTGAGGGGTTAACACTGTAACGCCAGACTGCTGCTCTGCTTAGTGCTGGGAGGGGAAGTTGCTCTGGCTCTTGCTGCTGCACAGGTGGGGGTTGGACTTCCTGGGTCAAACATTGACTGCTGCCTCCAGCTCCAGCGGGGTCTGTACGGGGACAGATCTGCACTAACCCCCCTCTGTGCCCGGGGGACTTTCTCCGGTGGCTGGAACCAGCCCCGGGCTCTGCCGACCCCAGCCCCCGAGCCGGAGCCTGCAGGTGAGGGGAGAGACCCGGGGGAAAGGGCTGGGGCCGGGCAGGAAAGTGACTCTGCACCACTGGCCCCTCCCAGAGCTGCTGCCCTCCCCCCTCCCCTCCCCCGCTCTGCCCCCCTGAGCGCCTGCAGGAGCCGAGCCAGCTCCGGGAGAGCGAACGCCCCGGGCCGGGCCAGGGACCGAGTCTCCCAGCCCGAGGGGAGAGGGGGCAGGAGGGAGACGGGGCAGAGACTGGCAGAGGCAGCAGGAGCAATCAGTGAGGAGGGAGGTTCCCGGCTCCCAGCCCTGCCCAGCCCCATTCCCCGCAGCACCCCGGGGCAGATTGACTTTCCGGGGGAGGAGCTGGGAGAGGAAAAGCCAGTTCCTGCCTCTGCCTGGTCCCCGCGCTGCTGGGGGGATGCGCTGCCCTGGGGACAGTGTCAGGCGGGATCCCCAAAGTGGCTGCTTTTGTTCTGCTCTTTCAGTGTAGCTGGAGCATACAGTGACACTGACAGTGTTGGCTGCACCGTTTTAGTCTAAAGGAACCTTTTCAGTTCCTTATAACACACTCAGAGTTACTAGACAGGCCTCAGGTCTGACACAGTCTGACAATTCCTATGCTCCTCTTAGGGCAGAGAGTCTCTGTCCTGGGTGAATTTATTTGGAAAGATTGATATGGGAAAACACTTAGCTTGTTTTTGAGAAGGGGCCTGGGAAAAGAGCAAATTACAATGTTACCATTTTATTTTTTAAACTAATTCTAGTCCCTTAAGAATTTGGGTAAAAATTTTACATTTGACTGAGAATTCCTATTCAAGAGACAAGGTGGGTGACGTAATATCTTATTGGACCAACTTCTGTTCATGAAAGAGACCAGCTTTTGAGCCACAGAGGGTATGTCTACACAGCAAAAGCAAAACCCTCCGCTGGCCTGTGATAGCCAACATGGGCACATGGGGCTCTGGCAGCAGGGCTGTTTCATGGCTACCTAGACTTCCTGGTTTGGGCTGGACCCGCCCACCCCACAGGGTGAAAGTGATTAACCACTGGAACAAATGACCAAAGGAAGTGGTGGATTCTTCATCTCTTGATGTCTTTAAATAAACATTGGATGCTTTTCTGACAAATATACTTTAGACAAATGCAGGTCATTGGGCTCAGAACTGGGTAACAGGGTAAAATGCAAGGGACTGTGACATACAAAAGGTCAGACTAGACGATCTTCTAGTCCTTTCTGGCCTTAAGCTGTATGAATCTTGGGAACTCATCCTGCAACCACTCCGCATATTTAATATTAAGCATCTCAGTGGTCCCATTGACTTCACTTACTCTCTGTCACTAATAGTGTTTAAAAGTCTCTGGGGGTTTAGTCCTTGTGGGAGGGGATGGGCTGGGCTGTAAATAAAATGATGAAAGCCAGGATCCTTAAAAAACAGGAGACTAATGTAGAAACCTGTGTTCAGACAGCTCAGTCACTGGCCTGATTATCAGCAAGGCTGGACACTCAGAACTGAGACCCAATGTGGCAGGCTCCGCATTCTTGAAACGCAGGCCACTTATTGAGAGACTTGACTGTGGATTTGGGACTTAACTTTGGGCTGGTTTTTTTGTTTTGTTTTTTTAGTGTCTTGGCTCAAGCATTCTCAGGGATGACAGTCTAGAGTGTCTGTTGGCAGGGAAGGAGTCTGGGGGAAATCGGGGTGTGTAATGTATTAAACCCCTTCTGAAACCTTCCCTATCGCCCTTCTCACTCTGACAGGTTGCAGAATAAAATCCACATTTGCTCCAGTTCATCCCATCCATGGAGAGTCGAGGAAGGGAAATGGCTGCAGCGGAGCCGGTGACCTTCGAGGAGGTGGCTGTGTATTTCACTGAGGAAGAATGGGCCCTGCTGGACCTGGGTCAGAGAGCCCTGTACAGGAATGTTATGCAGGAGAATTATGAGACCGTGACCTCGCTGGGTAAGGATTCCTGTCCCCTTGGGTATTAGAAACTGGGGGTCTCAGAAGCATCTGGGTCGGCTTCTCTTCAGGATTCTTAATTGGTCCCCCATATTTCTGTAACGATCAGCCCTGTTAGTCCCTAGATCGTGTGTCTGTGAGACTGTCCCTTCCCATAGGATAGAAGATTGAGGGACATGTTGATGGTGCTACTCTTCCCAGAACCAAGATTTTTAAGTGCACTTTATCTCCATCTTGACTGCATTCTGCCTGAGCCAGATATGTTAGCAGGAGGTGCCAGATGTTCCAGACTCTTCTACCTGTCAGGAAGGCCATGGACCAGAGTAATGAGGCTGGTTGCCATTAGTGTCTCTAGAGCTACCTCTTCTGCCAAGGTGCTGAGTTCTTGGAAGGAGGATGTTGGTCCTGGTGTCTCTTCTTGCCCATGATGGTTCCTCGCACTGAGAGGGGCTGTGTTCGGGGCTGAGGGAGGGTATATGAAGTAATTGGTGGTCTGGGAGTATTCTGTGAGTCTATTGCTGTCCTATGTGAATGTCGGGGGGACGGTCCAGGGAGGTTAGAAGAATATTCACAAATTGGCACGGTGTTCATAAAAGTGCCACAAGAATGATTTCAAGTTTGGAAAATGTGCCTTAGAGTGAGAGACTTAAAGAGCTCAGTATATTGAGTTTATCGAGGAGAAGATTAAGCGGTATTTTAAACAGAAACATTAGGTATCTACAGAGGGAGATTTCTGACAGCAGAGAGCTCCTTAATCTAGCAGACAAAATCAGAAGGAGATCCAGTGGCTGGAAGCTGAAGCTGGATAAATTCAGACCAGTCATAAAGTGCAGATGTTTAACAGTGAGGTGAATTAACCATTGGAATAACTTACTCAGGGATGTGGTGGATTCTCCATCACTAGGAGTCTTTGAATCAAGTTTGGATGTCTCTTTCTAATAAATATAGTCTAGCTCAATCACAAGATATGGGCTTGATGAAGGAATCTTGGGTAAGGTTGTCTGACCTGTCTAACCTACAGGAGGTCAGACTAGATAATCATAATACTCCCTTCTGGCCTTTACATCTGGTAATCTATGTTTGCAGATCTGTAGATTAGTCAGAAATTTGGTCAAGTCCCAATTCAGCAAACTTCTCTATTCACCAAGCACCAATGTGACTCAAGCACTAACTACAAGAGAGATGCCCTAGGAACCTGGGGGACTATGGTGATTCGCTTGGTGGGATTTCTTTGGATGGAGTTGTCCTGCATCTAAAGAAAAGAAGGGGTGAAACTAGCAGAATAAGGACAATGTTCTTCCAAAAAGCAGACTTTCACAAACTCTGAGAACTTGGTATGTATGGTTCCATAGGAAGAAATGTATGGTCCCATAGGAAGAAATCTAAGGGAAAAAGGAGTTCAGGAGAGCTGGCAGTTTCTCAAAGAGACAATATTTACAAGCCAAAAGCATATCCCAATAACACAGAAAGATAGGAAGAACAGCAAGGGGCCAATATCGCTGCATCAGGAGGTCTTTAATGACATGAACATTGAAAAGGAATCCTGCAAAAAGTGGAAACATGGACAACTTGCTAAGGATGAGTATGAAATAACAGCAGAGGCATGTAATGAGAAAATCAAGAAGTCTGAGGCACATTACAAATAGCAAGGGACATAAAAGGCAATGAGAAGTGGTCCTGTAAATACATGAGGAGCAAAACAAGAGAAAAACAAACGACAGTGTAGGCCCACTACTTGGAGGGGAAGGAGAGCTAAAAATGATAACATCAAGAAGGCTGAGTTGTTAATTCCTATTTTCCTTTAGTGTTTAGTAAAAAAGTTAACGTTGACCAGATGCTTAATAGAACTAATATAAAAAATAATGGGGGAAGGAACACAAGCCAGAGTTGAGAAAGAACAGATTGAATACATCTAATTTACTTAAATATTCTTTAAGTCATCGGGGACTGACAAAATTCACCCTGGGGTACTTAAGGAAATAGCTGAAGCAATCTCAAAACTATTAACAGTTATCTTTGAGAATTCATGGAGGACAGGTGAGGTCCCAGAGACTGGAGAAGGGCAGACATAGTACTTATCAATAAAAGGGGGAACAAAGACGACTTGTGAATTATAGGCCAATGAGCCTAACTTTGTACCTGTATAGACATTGAACCAAATTATTAAACAATCAATTTGTAAGCACCTAGTGGATAAGTAATAGCCAACATGGATTTGTCAAGAATAAATCAAGTCAAGTCCAAAGTGTTACACTGAGGAAGGATAAATCAAATGCACAAATACACAATGTGCAATAACTGGCTAGGAAGTAGTACTGTAGAAAAGCATTTGGGAGTTACAGTGGATCACAAATTGAATATGAGCCAACAATGTGACGTAACTGCAAAAAAGGCTAATATCATGCTAGGCTGTATTAACAGGAGAGTCATATGTATGACACGGTAGGTAATTGTCCCTTTCTATTTGGCACTGATGAGGACTCATTTGGAGTACTGTGGACACTTCTGGGTGCCTCACTTTTGGAAAGATGTGGACAAATTGGAGAGAGTATAGAGGAGAGCAAAAAAAATTATGAAAGGTTTTGAAAAATTATGACCTATGAGAAAATGCAAAAAGAAGTGGACTTGTTTAGTCTTGAGAAAAGAAGACTGAGTGGGAGACCTGATATCAGTCTTCAAATGTGGGAAGGGGTGTTATGAAGAGGAAGGTGATTGATTGTTCTTCATGTCCACAGAACATAGGACATGAAGTGATGGGCTTAACCTGCAGCAAGGGAGATTTAGGTTTGATATTAGGAAAAACTTTCTATCTGTAAGGACAGTTAGGTAATGGAACAGGTTACCAAGGGAAGTTGTGAAATCCCAGGCTTTGTCTACACTACACAGCTTTTTAGGAGAGCGCTCCTGCCGACAACATGCTGTTCACACTGGCACTTGTCATGGCAAAACTTTTGTCTTTCTGATGGTGGGGGTGTTTAACACCTCTGAAAGACAAAAGTTTTATCATTCAATCGCCAGTGTAGACAAAGAGCCAGTCACTGGTTGCTTTTAAGAACAGGATAGACAAACATCTATCAGGGTCGGTCTTGGGGTACCTGGTTCTGTCTCAATGCAGGGGGCTGGGACAGATGAGCTCTTGATGTTCTTTTCAGCAACGCATTTCTATGATTTGAGCCAAGGTGGGAGAAGAATGTCTACTCACAGCCAGAGCTGTCCTCTCTGGGTCTGAGGTGTATGGAGCAGGCTAAGGGGGTAGGAAAAGCCAATACCGGGCCTGAGGTGTGAGCCAGCCGGATCCCAGCAGGAGCAGATCGGGTCTTATGGATAATGGGGAAGGGCTGAATGACAGTTGATCAGCAAGCGTATGGGGGCCCTTTTGCTGGTCCATCATGACTCACGGAGAGCTCTTTGCTTCCTGTGTTGGACAGGGGGCAGGTGTCTAGTAATCTTTTTCCAGGCCCTGGATGGTGTTTCCTCTGTTTATTTCTGAACAGCTTGTCATTGGGGGAGAATCTAGGGTCCCTAATCAGGTGACACAGCCCTGTGGAGCTAGGTGCTGCATGGATGCAGACTAGGAGAGAAGTCTCCATTCCAAAGAGTTGATGGTCTGAGTAATATCCTCCTGTTCTGCCTTGTGTTGAGAAGGGTTATAGAGGTGGGTGGGGTGGGGGAGATGTGACTGTAAATGATGGAGGCTAAGTCGTACTCCAGGTACCTTCAGAGTGTAGCAACTCCGCTCAGCTCCTCAGGGGAATAAGTCAGGGCCATTCCCTAGACAGAGTGGGTGAACCTTTGCTCCAGAGCAGTGCATCATGGGATCTTGTACGATTTATAACCCAGTCCCCGTAGGGTTGGGGGTAGGGAGAGGAAGAAGCCTCTGTGGGTGGGCTGCTCAGATCCTTGGTTTGGAAGTAATAACAGGCATGAGCTTAATGACCAAGATCAACACTTGTTTCCTCACCCCCTCTGCCAAGCAGGATTCCCAGTTTCCAAACCTGACGTGATCTCCCAGCTGGAACAAGGGGAGAGGCTGTGCATTTCTGATCTCTGGGACTATGAGGAAAGGGAGATTCTGAGAGACCCCCACACAGGTGAAAAATCAGTTAAACTTACTCAGAAATCAGTTATTCTGTCGTCCTGGTAGACGTCACGTATGCATTTTCATCAAGCTTGTCTGACCCTTCAGCCCCTGCCTTCATCTGTGCTCACAGCATGTGGAGGAAGGATGGGTCCCCTCCTATGGGAAAGGGTATGGGGGGAGCAGGATTCAGCTCCTGATAGTTCAATCTCCCCAGCTGTTATTTGGGTTTGTTCTCCCCTTTCCTATTTCCCTTTCTGAGGTTCCCTGTCCACGGCACAGGAACTGACTCCTATCTGGATTTGCTCTCTGTCCCAGCAGGTGATGGGATGGTGAGTGAGAATGAGGAGGAAAATCCTCAGCAGGAAGGTCCTGAGCGAGTGGAACCACAGGGAACAGTATCAGGAAGAGCTGAAGGGCATGTTTCCCAGAGTCCTGAGCAGGGAGAAGCCTGTGAAATTCAGCGCAGACCAAAAAGGAAGCAGGGAAACCACTCAGAGGAGAGATTGGGTAAATCCACTCACAAGAGCAGAGGCATCAAGAAAATCAAAGAAACTGTTCAACAGAGAATCCCCACTGGAGAGAGTCCCTACTCGTGCGGTGACTGTGGGAAAAGCTTCAGTCAGAGCTTAACCCTTATTCACCATCAGCGAATCCACATGGGAGAGAAACCCTACAAATGTAATGAGTGCGGGAAAAGCTTCAGTGTGAGCTCAAAGTTTCTATTACATCAGAGAACTCACACAGGAGAAAGACCCTATGACTGCCCCGTGTGTGGGAAAAGTTTCAGTGTGAGCTCCAACCTTATTCAACATCAGAGAATCCACACGGGAGAGAAACCCTATAAGTGTCCAGACTGCGGGAAAAGCTTCAATCAGAGTTCAAATCTTCTGTCACATCAGAGAATCCACACGGGAGAGAAACCTTTTGAATGTCTCGAGTGCAGGAAAAGCTTCAGTCGTAGATCAACCCTTCTATCACATCAGAGAATCCACACAGAAGAGAAACCCTATACCTGTGCTGAGTGTGGGAAAAGCTTCGGTCACAGTGCACATCTTACTAGTCACCAGAGGACCCACACAGGAGAGAAACCCTACAAATGCAGTGAATGTGGGAAAAGCTTTAGTCAAAGCTCAAACCTTTATACACATCAGAGAATTCACATGGGAGAGAGACTCTATAACTGCCCTGACTGCGGGGAAAGCTTCAGACTGAAGTCAACTCTTGTTACTCACAAGAGAATCCACATGGCTGAGAAACCCTTTAAATGCCCCGAATGTGGGAAAAGCTTCAATGCGAGCTCAGCCCTTAGGAAACATCAGAGAATCCACAGTGGAGAGAGACCCTATAAGTGTCTTCACTGTGGGAAAAGTTTCTGTAGCAGCTCAGCCCTTTGTAATCATCAGAGCACCCACCTTGAGGACAGACCCTACAAATGCAATGAGTGCAGGAAAAGCTTCAGTCAAAGTTCCAACCTTATTCAGCATCAGAGAATCCACACAGGAGAGAGACCCTATAACTGCTCCGACTGTGGGAAAAGCTTCAGTCGGAAATCAACCCTTATTAAGCATCAGAGAACCCACGTGGCGGAGAGAGACCCTATAAGTGAGCTAAATGTGGGAAAGGCTTCAGTGAGAGCTCAAACCTCATTACATATCAGAGAATCCACACAGGACACAACCCCTAGGAATGGGTCATGTGTATAAGACCTCTATTGAGTACCATGAACCTCAAAGGGTCAGGCCAGGCTGGAGTGGCCCTGTAATGAGGACCTGCAATAGTTAGTTATTAAAGCAGAGAATGAAATCACATGCCTGGAACAAAGCTGTGTAGACCAAGAGGCTGAGATAAAATTCCCATGTTGTCATGAGATTTGTTTATTGCACTCCCCCCGCCCCACACACACACTCCCACACATACCTCGCCATGTACCCCTTACGTCCACACACCATCCCCACCCATATACATCTGACTCACACCCCTAGGGCTATGATTCCCAGTGGGGGGGAGGATGCTGTTTGCTCAGGGGAACAACATCCTTGACTTCCAAAAGAAAGTGAAATTGTCTTTCTACATGCTTCAGGACAAAAAATGTTCTTCCCATACTTTAAAGCTCCCTCTCTCTTATCTGGGCCATCAGCTAATCAGAAGGATTTTTAATGATATGCAAGAAGGAATAGTAATAGCACAGCTGCAGGAAGGGAAACTAAACCCATCCGAAACCTAACCTGTACTGAAGTCTACTCAGAACCCTTACCAATTCTGAAATAAGGGAAAAAATCTTGCTCTTCAAATAGCCATGACAAACCCATCAGAGAAATTTATAATCTTAAAAAATAAAAAGTGGAATGGCTCATCAAGTACATCTGCTCACTTTTAAAAGAAATAATGAGTCCTTTGGCTGCCAGGCAGAAATGAGGGAGCGTTGCAGAACAGGTGTTCGTCAATCATGCTGGGCAGCAGGAGGAGCATACTCAAAGCACAACAAAAAAACCCTTTCTCATAGAATCGTAGAAATGCAGGGCTGGAAGGGACCTTGAGAAGTCATCAAGTCCAGCCTCCTTCTCCGTGGCCAGTGGACCAAGTAAACCTAGACCATCCCTGACAGGTGTTTGTCCAACTTGTTTTTAAAAGCTTCCGATGATGGGGACTCCTCGACCTCCCTTGGAAGCCAATTGAAGAGCTTAACAACCCTTATATTTAGAAAGTTTTTCCTGATATCTCACCTAAATCTCCCTTGCTGCAGATTAAGCCCATCACTGCATGTCCTACCTTCAGTGGACATGGAGAACAATTGTTCACCATCCCCTTTATAACAGCTCTCAAGACTAAACATGCCCATTTTTTAAATCTTTACTCATAGGTCAGGTTTTCTAAACCTTTTATCATTTTTATTGCTCTCCTCTGAGCTCTCCCCAATTTGTCCACAGTATTCCAGTTGGGGCCTCACCAGTGCTGAATAGAGCAGGACAATTACTTCCTGTGTTTTACATACAACACTTCTGTTAATAGACCCCAGAATCATATTAGCGTTTTTTGCAGTTGTCACATTGAAGACTCGTATTCAGTTTGTGGTCCACTATACCCTCCCCCCCTTCCCCCCCCCCCCCCCCCCCCCCCCGGTTCTTTTCAGTAGTACTACCACCCACACAGTTGTTTCCCATTTTATTGTTCTGCATTTGCTTTTTCCTTCCTAAGTGAAGTACTGTGCACTTGTCTTTATTGAATTTCATCTTGTTGAATCCAGACCAATTCTCTAATTTGTCAAGGTCATTTCGAATTTTAAACCTGTCCTCCAAAGTGCTTGCAACCCCTTCTAGCTTGCTGTCATCTGCAAATTTTATAAGCATACTCTCTACTGCATTATCGGGTCATTAATTAAAATATTGAATAGTACCGGACCCAGGACTGACCCTGGTGGGAACCCACTAGATATGATCTCCCAATTTGACAGTAAACCATTGATAACTACTCTTTGAGTATGGTCTTTCAATGTGTTGTGCACCCACCTTATAGTAATTTCCTTTAGATCACATTTCCCTAGTTTGCCTATGAAAATGTCATGTGGAACTCTGTCAAAAACCTTACTAAAATCAGGTTATAACACATCTACTGCTTCCTCCCAGCCACTAAGTCAGTAATCCTATCAAAAAAGGAAACTGAATTGGTTTGGCATGATTTGTTCTTGACAAATCTATTGTGACTATGCCTTATAACCTATTATCCCCCAGGTGCTTACAAATTGATTAATACTTTGCTCCAGCATATTTACATCTAGTGAAGATAGACTGACTGATCTATAATTCCCCAGGTCCTTCTTGTTCCCTTTTTTAAAGATAGGTACCATGTTTGCCCTTCTCCAGTCTTCTGGTGCCTCACCGTCCTCCAGGAGTTCTCAAAGAGAATTGCTAATGACTTGGAGATTGCTTCAGCTAGTTCTTTACCTACCCTGGGATTCATTTAATCAGGGCCTGCTGACTGGAATACATCTAACTTATCTAAATATTCTTTAACCTAGTCTTACCCTATTTTGGTTTGCTTTCTTTCCCCCGGTTGTCAATATTAATTGTGTTGAGTATTTGGTCATCATTAATCATTTAAGTGAAGATTGAAGGAAAATAGGCATTAAGTGCCTATTGATGCTCTCCTTCCTGCTAAGTAGAGTGCCCACACTTTTTGTTGTCTTTCTCTTGCTCCTATGTATTTAAAGAACCTCTTCTTATGGACTTTTCTGTCCCTTGCCACGTGTAACTCATTTTGTGCCTTAGCCTTTCTGCTTTTGTCCCTATGTTCTTGTGCTGTTCTTTTGTACTACTCCTTATTGATCTGACCATGTTTCCATTTTTTGTAGGATTCCTTTTTGATTTTCAGGTCATTTAGAATTAAGCAAAAAACCGGCAGGCTGCAACTTTGTTTAAAAAAACCCAACAATAAAAGTCTTAAAAGAAAACCCAAAACATCAGTGCAACTTTGCTTTTTAAAAGCAATCTTGGCACAGAACCCAGCATACTAGGTGGGAAGCCACCTAAGCTGCCCAGTGGACGATGCCACCAGGAGAGGAGTCTTCTAAGCCCCATCCCTTTTATGGAGATAGATGCCTGCCTCTTCCTTTAAGTCAGGAACTGGGGAATTTAGATGTTCCTCTGCTAATGGGGTTTGATACAGAAGTCACATTCAGAGGCCACCTATCTCCACACAACACAGCTGGGAAGGAAGCAGATGGAGGAGCTCCTTCATAACCTTTAGCTTCATGGTTATTTTATTCACCCAGGATGTGGGAGACACCTAGTTCATGTCCCGCCACCACCTGCTGAGGCAAAGGGATTTGAACAGGGACCTTGCACTTCTCAGGAGAGTGGCTGAACGACCAAGGTATGGGATACTCTGATGTGAGTGTCTCATTGTCTCTCCTAGCGAAGCAGTTCCACTGTATATAAATACTTAAGGAGTCATTGGGCCAGAGGAGAGTGTGAGAATGATTCCACAGCCTGGGGGTCAGGGCATCCAGCTATAAGGTGGGTGACTCTGGATCCAATCCCCCTTCTCCAATGATTGTAAGATCCTAAGTCCCACCACTCACCACAAAGAAGGCTGTATGCTGAACAGCAGAAGGAAGGGTGAGAAATTGCACCTGCTTCAAAGCGCAGAAAGATTTAGGAAATCAAAACTTGCTGCTACAATTCCATAGGGATTTTCTGTGCTTCAAAGAAACAGAGCCTTAAAGAACATAACTAGAATAAGATAGGGTTTGAATCTGACAACATTGCAGGTTTTGACTGCTTTAAACTGTATGCTGTAACCTGTAGCTGCCAGACTTATTGTTCACACCATGGGAGTGTGGTGCTGGATGCACTTAACTTTGCTTACTAAATTATCTGGCTTACTGCTTAAAAGAGCTACCCTTCAAATTTTTGGTTTGATGAGAACATAACTAAATCTCAGCTGTGCTGATTGTGTTACTGTATCTTTGTGGAAATTAATACTTTTGTTGTCTTGTTTCAGGTCCTATCTTGAAGTGTTACTAAGAACTAGCAACTTTGTTAATCACTGTTCTACTCTTTCCTGGATTTTTCCCTCAGCACCTCCAGCTGTGCGGTTTTTGCATGTGTGAGTGAGAATTAAATGTCAGTGAGATCTCACCCTTGTAACATTACACTGTGTGTGAGAGAAGTTATCGTCTAACTTCAAAAATCTCACGTCAGTCTTTATTTGTGTGTGTTCTAAACTTTAGTATAATTTTGTACTAACTTCAGTTGTGTTGTGTGTTTCTAACTACAGAATGATCTAATATGTTTATATCTTACACTCCACACAAACCTTTTCCCAATCTTGGAGTAGGAATTTAACCAGTTCTTATTTTACATTTGTCAATTTTATATACCAGTAGCAGGGTACGGTACTCTGTGATAGTTCTCTTTCTATATTTGAATGTTACAATGTTTACCTATTGGTGTATGGAATTACCTTTAATAATCTCTCTCTCTCTTCCTCCTCCCCCCCTCCCCCCCGCCAATTAACTCAAATACCAGGATCTCCCTGCAATATAGCGCCTTTCAACTTTCTAAGAAAACTCCCTCGGTCTCCTTGACTAACTTTAATTTGAATACCTTGGTTAATCAAACTGCTTTCTGAACTTTCACCCTTATAAAATTGCCTATTAACGCCATCAAACCAAAGCTAATCCTCTTTCATCTGCATTGTTGTATAATAATCAAATTGGGTAATTCTTGTACCTCATTTATTATATGTGTCATTGTAACCATTTCCAACTAGATACGTGTGTCTAAACACAGCTGAATTTCGAGCTATGGTGATCATATGACTTGCGAATTTGCCTTAAATCATGCTTAGCCTCACAATGCTACCTTTTAAAGACAGAAATAAAAGTAGTAGTAATGGTTTTGGTAGATTTTGTGCTGTCTACACTACTTTCAGTGTTATTGTACTATTCAACCTATCTAGTTTCATCCAAATTTGTTTTGAGTTGAAACGTTTTAATATCAAGTTGAATTATAGTGTTTGTAATCCAGTTACTTTACTGAGGTTATACATAGTTATCTGAAATGTTTTCTTTAAGATTAGCTGTTAAATTCTGTTGATAATACTTAGCTACAAGTGAATTTTATTTGGGGGGGGGGAGACTGTTGATGCTTGTTAGTATCCTAAGTTATTCTATTTTAGAATTTCAAGTTAGTTAAGAGGTTATTTTAAGAGTTCATACATTGTATCATTTGTTTGATTTACCTTTTTTCAGTTGGTGTGTCTCATTTGGATAATCCTTGTGGATTTAATTTTTTGTTGGTTTCTTCAATCAGTTTTGAGTACTTAAATAAATGTTTCCCTATTTTAAATTTGAGTTCAGTTGTTTTGTTTTGGGCTGTACTTTAGTATAAAGGAAGCAGAATCCTTTGTTCATTTTTATGTGGTTACTCCTGGATTGCAGTCTCATTCTTCTTAGCATATGCCCAACATGCCTGAGGTGGCAAGTGACCAGAATTCATCACCGATTTTGGTTGCTGCAGTCTCATTAATAACCATAATCCATCATTCTGTGTTGGTTTGCTTTTCCTGAAATAGTCATATGAGAAGCAATTCATTAATACTTCCATCTCATTAATGGTTTCTCCCAATTATGAATTTTTATACTTATTTGGTTCTTTTACTTTGAAAATCACCTGCCATCCAACCCCTTTCTACCCCCACTCCTGTCATTTTCAGCGCCAGTTTATCCACTGCCTTCCTGGCTTATGAACCATTGTCCTGGCCCCTTGGACAGGAGAAAAGAGCTGTTTAACTATACTCTGAGCAGCTGCAGCTTGCCAGTGAAATGGGCATTTGGAAGACTGAAGAGAAGGAGGCGGAACCTCCTGAGAAGGCTGGAGGCTGCTGAGCAATCTCTGTCTCATTTGATAGGTGGTTGCTGTGTTTTGCACAACATCTGTGAAAGCCAGGGGGAGATCCTCACCAAAGGCTAAGGGTATGTCTACAC